GCAAAACCCGTCCAAAACCCACTTCTGGTCAAAAATTGTCATCGCCAACTCCGACCCAGCAAGACCCTGAAGAGTCACCTGTGACAATCATAAGGGTCCCACGGTAAACCATTGAAAAAAAAGAGAAGCAAAAAAAAAAAAAAAAAAAAAAAACCCACTCAAGCCCAAAACCCAAGCCACACAATACCGACCCATAAAAAGATGGGCATCGTCGCACGCCCTCCCGCTTACATATCGTAGGCACCCAAAAAAAGGATGAGTACTATGTGTACAACATCCACAAGTACTTCTCACCTTGGTACTATGTAGTCCCATCCCGTCACCGTCAGCAGCACTATGGAGTCATCCACCATGCCCACATCCACACATACATGGTACACACACGCACACACACACGCTCCATACCCTGTGCTCGTTGCCCCGCGACAACCCATGGATAAAAAACTGTGGGCTGTGATAAGGGCACTTTTGCAATCCTGCAAAGCAAGAGATCACAAGGGACCATATCCTCCGATCGGCAGGACCATTTGTAAGTCTATCTCTGTCTTGCGCGTTAGCCGAGCGAGAAGGCACGGGCTTCGGGCTTCACGGGTTACTTGACAGCAGAGGGGAATGAAACATCGGGACCATGCGAGCTTGTCGCACTTGGGCTGTCTGGGACCGAAATGTCAGGGTATGTGTGTGTGTGTGTGTGTGTGTGGTGTGTGAGACTATCCTATTCTATCCGTCCATCCACCCATCTGTCTCTGGCATCGGGCAACGTCCATTACGAAAATTCACAATTCACGACGTGCCAAGGGTAAAGGGTCCTTGGCGCAACCCGTGAGATGTTCAGTATCCACCTCTCTGACAGGTGTCTCATGTCTCAAGGGAGGAAGGGTTGCTATGATCGCTGGTGTTTTCAGAGTCATATATCAGGGCGGTCAAGAGGAGAGCCAATAGAGGCAGGAGAAGGGCACCTCGGTAGCGCAGACCATTAAAAATGCCTTCTACTATTATGGGTTACTACTACTTACCGTGTGCATTGACTCAGCTGGCAGTTCACTTGACTGTATCACAATGTCATCAATCGTGAGTGATCTCCCGACCAGGGTGTCTCTTCCGGCTTATTCCCTTTGCCTCACTATCATGGGCTTTTCGTGTTGGGGATGCGGTGGGGTGGTTGTGATCACGAGGGCCAAGATCATATCCCAGCCCTGGCTCATAATCAACTCCATCCAACCTGGGGACCCTGATACTACGGTACCTTATCCTGGCCCTCTGCCCCTCCGCCCTGGTCGAGAAAGCACATGCATGGAATCACGGACCATCTACTAGGAACTTGAAATGATCCTTCTACCATAGAATCGTGGGTATGTACGGTAGAAGTTCGGACGGCGTAGCATAGTATTCAGAGTACCATCCCGCAAATGGCGGACGAGCAATACATAGTACTATGTGCGCTTTTCATTATACGCCGCGCAGTCTCCACAGAATTCCTTCCATCTCATTGGTCCCAACCTGCCAAATCCCAAGAAAAACGAGGTCATCTGACGAGGAACAGACGTGGCTCATGACTGCATCAAGCCATGTTGATCACCCCGGCTACTGCAGTCTTGCTACAAGAAGCACTTGGCTGCCTGCCTAGGCTGCGTTTTGGTTGGTTGATCCCTGGCAGAAAAAAGGGCACGCCTGCAGTTACAGCCCCGTCCATCGTGCTCCCCCCCCCCTCTGTCCTTCTGTTTTCTTTCGTTGGCTACTATGCCCTAGATCCTAGCAGATCTCCCGCTGGGGGCCCACCCACGTGTGATTGCTCGTTCGGCGAAGATTTCCTTGACCTTCTCGAAGGAAGTGGGGTTTTTTTTCTTCTTTCTTCTACTCTCTGACCCGTTGTGGGTTTTGCCCGAGGCTTACACGATCTTGGTGCCCGACCAAGTAGACGATTAAAAATAAAAAAAAACCGAAAAATCAAAAACGTGATAGACCAAAAAAAAAACAAAGCAAGAATGAATCCGAAACCGAGTTTTCCCTCACCGCCTTCACCGCCGGATCTACTAAACTGTTAATCTTTAGCAAATTGTAACGCTGTCATCGTTTAGACGCGCTCAATCTTCGGTTACTTTCCGTGAAGAAAATTATTTTTGATTTTTGATTCCGAAATAGAAAAAGAAAAAAAAAACTTTCTTACTTGCCTTACCCACGAAGGAGGATCCCGATGTGACATTTCTCCCCCTCCACTTCCCTCAACGCAAAACATTGTTCACCGGTTGTCATATCACTGCGGATCCCCAACAACCCTCCCACCGTCTGTTCGCACGCTGGGTCGAGCTTACAGGTTTTGACAGACCAGACACGTCATTGCTACATCGGCATTCGCAATCTTTTCCCTCTCTTTCTGTTCCTTCTTCTTTTCCCCCGCCCCATTTAGCCCATTTCCCTTCTTCTTGTTACAATTCAGCGCCCTAAAAATTGCATCATGTATGCAACGCCCCGCCCGCCCCATGGCAGCGGCAGCATATTATGACTGCATCATGTGTCAGCCGCCCCAGTCGCCCGCCGCAATTTGCTGCTGACAGGATGAGTTCGATGTTCATCTCCAGCTCTGGGTCTACGGTTTAGCATCCTCCGCCAGCCAGAACGACGTGGCTCCTTCGTCGGCAGACACGGCCGGCTTTTTCCTGTCTTCTTTTTTAGTTCATACATTCATGTCATTTCTCTTCTCCCTGTCCTCCTCTTCGATCCCATGGCAAAATTTCGGACTACTGCCGTCGTGACTTGGTAAAGTACATTCTTAGTTGCCGGCTAGCTACTTGTAGTCATCCAAGAGAACCAAGCCACCCAAGCCAAAGTTGCGGCCGCCGCCGTAGTGGGTAGTGGGTAAACGAGATGAGATACCTCTTCAGCCACCAAAGCGCAGACCCGGACTTTCCGCGTGGCTTTTCCCTCTGACCCTCTCTATTCTCCCTCTCTTTTCCTCCCGTTCTTCAGCCAATCATCAGACAGCAAAGAGGCCTAGACCCCCTTCCCGTTTTGAAACGGTTCGAGCGAGCAAGGCAAGCTGAGCTGTCAACGCGATTCGATCCATCCGTTTAATGACACCGCGCTATGGGGGGAGGGGCATGGGAGGTGAGGAGGGAGCCCTAGAGGGAGGACTCCTATAGCCCAGGCTAATGTGGTTTTGATTGGTTGGTGTGTGTGTGTGTGTGTGTGTCCAAGTGGTTGTCGCGCAAGCCACAAGTTGCTGATCCCACGTGGAGGGCAGGGTTCTGCGCCCTCAAGGGCTGACCATAGTACGCATCGATATGGTGGGCGAAACAAAAAGGAAGAAGACAACCCTTTCACCCCTGAAAGTCAATCAAGCAATCAAAACAACTACCTTGCTACGACGGGCGCCCGCTTCATCCTGTCTCCTTCTTCTGGTTGGCTAATCGGCATAGGCTGCCAGTCTGACCTGCTGACCCTGAAGGGCAACCCTCGCGTCGCGGGTTGATTGATTGCTTAATTGAATGAAACTATCCGACATATTGTTTGTTACCCCCCCCCCCCCTTTCAACCAACCACCCTCGTTCGTCCCCATTCATTATCACCTTGCGAAAGGGTCAGGTCGGCTCCGTCGGGGCTGAACATACACACAGCAACCCCCGTCGTTCGTGTAAAAACAAGGAAATGAAGGAGATAATGTAGAGAATAGCAAACGATAAACAGGCGACTATGAAACCTTTGCGTAATGCCTCGCAGATACATACATGCTACAACGAAAATTTGTCCGGACCGTCTTCTCACTCAAAGGGAAGAAGAAACAGGGGGGTTTGTGTGTGTTTCAATTCTGCTATGGGGAACAACATGTGAACGAACCACCAGGCCCCAACTCGGCTGTCAAAATCGAATGGAGATTCCGACTTCCACAAAAGGAAAAACCATTGAAACCAGACAAGAGTGTCGTGGGTACGATGCTGTAATGTCTTATGGGTATGTCGCTGTTTTGTCTCCCCCCCCCACCTCCGGTACAGTATTCGAACCACTGTTGCGATTGTCTCCGTGCGTTCTCGCTTAAGGTTTGGAGATCCAATCTATTGAACAATCAATTTCGATTGCGCCGCTGGGGTTTGCGAGATGTCCCAAAACTCCACAGCACCAAGAGCAAGATCAAGAGAGAAAAGAGATCTGTTCTTGCGGCCGTAGTGGTGGTCGCCGCTCGGACGCTGGGGCTTTGCCGTCTGTTCTCGTATCTTGTCGCGTCACTTGACCACTTTTTCTTTACTGGCAACATACGAAATTATGATGTTACGAGAGGGCGCCGCAGCGTATGGGTCACGGGATTGCCACTATGATTTCTGTATGACGCGCACAGGGCTGTCTATCTACCTGCTTTGGGGTTCTTCTGTTTAATCTATTTTCTATCATCTCGTGACGGTCATTTTGTGACAAGGGCAGCAAGCATCGCAAGATTTACTTGAAAAGAAAGAGAAGGAAGAAGAAAACCACCAGTGCAAGCATAGCATAACCGCATCACCGTCAGCACGTGCATTCAGTCTCGGCGAATGAACACCCGCGCCGTATAACGCAGCGTATGGCCCCCCCCCCCCCTCCGCCCATCAGAATCTCCAGGAGGAGGATGAAGAGGGTTGCTTCTTTCTACTCAGCTGCTACGCCGCAGCCGCAAACACAAAAAAACACACAGACCACCTAACCTGCAGATGAGGACAGTGACCGGGGGGGGGTGGTGGAGAGGAAGGGGCCAAGATGTCACGGACCAGCGGCAACTTTCTCGCATGCATGTATAGAGTTGTGAAGTAACCATAGCTGGGAGGGTTACACTTCGACCATGTACCGCCCCGAGCCTCGCCAGGTACCATGCTAAAGTCTGTGAGTTCGTGAGGGGGCTTGAAATCGAAGGGTAACCGTGGGTCAGGTCCCCCCCCCCCCAAACGATCCCACTCTTTATCTCTTGTTTTGTCATCATCTGAGCTGGGACCTGCATGCGGTAGTGAGCAGCAAGCAGCGAGCAGCTCCTATCAACAATGAACACGCCGCAACCGCTACTGATTTTCAGCGCTCATCAACCAGGGATCTCTGTTTCACACCCAGCTGAAGAGCACTCTCATGTTTGGGGGGGCGGGAGGGCACAACAACAACGGACGAAGGGTAAGTACAATAACACAGTTCTTTCATCCATAACATGGGCTTACTACGACACATCTCCCATGTCGTCAAAGCCAAATCAGGTTGTGGCGTAAGCGGAGGTTCAATAATATTGCTCCCAGCTGAAATGCAGACTGAGCCAGCGGCGGGCGGGCGGGCTGGGGGAGGTTGGGAGGGAAGCAACCAGGGAATAGGACAGGATCAGGATCAGGAACAGGCCAGGGCGGCCGGCCGCTGAATAGATCGGAGTATCGGCTACTTTACTTTTGGCCCCATCGCACGCGTGGTAGGGGAGGAGGGAGGCAGTGACTTCATTTCATGTCAAGCGTCAGATGCCACTTTTTGCCCGCCATCTAGAAATTAGAAAGAAGGAAAGAAAGGTTGTCAAGGACTCACATTAAACGTCACGACTGTGGCTGTAGCGGGTTGAGGATACGATACCAACGCAGATTAGGATCCGAGGAAGTCTTAAAAGTGAGGGGACTCATGGAATAAACTTGCTCTGTATGTTGTGCCTGCTTGCCCACAGACGGATACGGAACGTTAAGTCCTAGCCGTCAGTTAGTCAGTCTGTTATGTTATTAGTGTTAGTGTTAGTGTTGGTGGTGGGCCTGCCACGCTTGCCTCTACCACTGTAAGTCTTTGGTGAGCCGGCATCGCGGTCTTCTTCGGTGAACCGGGCGCGCACACCTTTGTCCGTCTCATCGGGTCTTGTCGGACAGCGGGATGGAGGAGCACGAGGAGGAGGGGTGGAAGGAGCGAGACCCACTGAAGTTGTGCATGCATGTGTGTTGGCCTGACGTGCTTCTGCTTGCTTCCCATCCATGTTCCCCACGCTGTGATGTGGTGAGGAAATCTACTATGATACCATGCTATCTCTAGGCATGCATCCATATATGCACATGCACGCACACGCACACGCACACGCACATACTGCATGCATGCATGCAGCAACAGTAGCAGCAACAACAACAACAACAACAACAACAACAACAACAACAACAACAACAACAAAAGCAAGTAATGATGCATCATGCGTTGTGCGCGTCAAAGCTAGCTGTGCTGGATCCTGCCCACCCTGAGTCCTTCCTTCCTTCCATCCAGGTGGTCTACGTCTCCTTCGACCCGGAGTATCCCACGTGGAAAGAGCAATCCCGAATCTTGCTATCTGGCGGCTTACTACCACCACTGCGGGGTATTCTTGCATCTGATCCGTGTGCAGATCTCTTTTCTCTCTCTCTCTCTCTCTCTCTCTCTCTGTGTGTGTGTGTGTGTGTGTGTGTGTTTGTGTGTGTTCCACCTTGAGGCAATCCATCCAACTCATCATTGACACACCCACCCGCAGTACACGCGCACACACTTACGCGCAACACCCCTCATTGTCTCTCGCTCTCGGCGCAGAGAAACGGTTAGAAATGGCGCAATGATTCAGATCCCTCCGTCGATGGTCGGTGTGCAAGGGGGACAATGACCGACCATGATCCGCCCGAGACAAAGTGGATCGAGGGCGGCAAGACGGTTTGATCTTTTTCCAACCACACACAGACAATGCGTCACGAAAATCATGGGCCGCCGTGGGCACTACAACCATCTGACATTCCACACACCCAGCGCATGCATAGGAGCCTAAAGAAGAGGGGGGGGGGAAGGGAGGGAGATCAACAGGTACATCGTGAACATGTACCATTTCCCCCTCCATCCCCCCTCCGACGCCGAGCGTGATCAAACAAAGTTGCCAAGGATCGAACCATTCCAGTAACCCGAAAGAGGGCGGAAAACAGAGGAACACACGGATCCCGTGACGGGGTTTTTCTTGTCCTTCTTGTTCTTTCTTGTGCCGTGCCAAGGATGAAGCCGTGGGGGGTAAACAAGAATAACTTCTCGTAGTGCCATAGTAAGTTGACTTTGCTTGACGAGAACCTTGCCAGGCTGTCCCTGGTGCCTATGAATAGTGTCCTTTAAAGGTAAAAAAAAAAAGAAAAGAAAAGAAAAAAAAATTTACAAACAAGGAAGGAAACGAGATCGAGATGCATGCATAAGTAGTAAACGCAGGGTACTAGAAAACCTTTCTTTTGACCACCGTTCCGAGACAGGCAAAGGAAGCAAGCAAGCAATCCCCAGCGAGAGGACGAGGCGCTCAACCACCGCCCGGCATGCGGCGCCGGGACTTTAGGTGCGTATAGCTCTTTCCGGTAGCCTCGGAGCTTGTCCTTATGCCGTTTGTCTGTTCGAAACAAAGTCCCCAACTACCCAACTCTGGTCATGTCACACATCCCACATAACTATCACACCACACAATCAATGCATGTCGTGGGGCTTTACGGAAGTACATACAGTGATCCACCAGAGAAGATCGACTCGCTTACCCAGGGCCCCACGTTAGGCAGGCAGGCATAAAAAATTACCACTATATAGTAGTGCTAATGCATACTATATTATGGTACAGATACTGTCTACCTAATTTCTGGTTTTTATCGTATTTAGTTAATCTATCTTGATCTACCAACATGTGCTTTGCGGATCGTGGCTTGAAAGGGGTCTGGCGGGGAAAAGAAGATCCCAATCAGACTACGTGTTTCGGTGTGGACGGCCGCCTTTGCCAGCCTGATCATCATGCTCATCTTTTTCTTTTCATCCCAACGCTGACCCGACTGGGCGGTGTGATGGAAAGATCGACACTTGAGGCGTTTATGTATGATGAAGTCAAACGTGGGATGGGAAAAGCCGGGGCGGGGCGTTGCCTGTCCAGCAGTACAGGTACATCGGATTGATTGCGTTGCCATACGCCCCTCCCTTTCCATCATGTGGTTCACTAGAGGTGGAACCCTCTCCTCCACCCAGGAGAGTGGGGAGGGGGGGGGGGTCGATCGAACAAAGGCTGTAGGCAAACCTGACACCAGGATATGGGCAAGGCGGAGGCGGCGGCACAAGGCTGTGTTTCAGAAGCCACCCATCTTGGCCGCGTGCCCGTGCTTGATTGGGTTTATCACGGCGACCTTGGCCCAACCCGCGATCACGAGGAATGGCGAACAAGGGCTTGGCTCAGTGAATCTCCTCAACCACGGTCGACGAGGGACGAAACCGCACTCCTGTCCCTCTTTTTGTGTGTGTGTGTGTGTGTGTGTGTGTGTGTGTGTGTGTTCCATAAAAAAGTGAGTCACTGCCGTCGTCACTTACACGAATCGTCCATACGCCCGAACGTAGGTCCGCTCGTCCGCCGAGTCTATGTGGGATGTGATGCGACAGCCAGCCAGCGCCATCGCCCTAGCCCTCGCCTTCGTCACAGGATCAAGCGCAAGTTGTGGAGCCATTTATTGTACGGTAGTACCATAGTATAGTATTCCCGCCTCTTCGTCAAGTCGTCTTCGATCTGTACACTATGGGATTTAGCGGCTACGCGGCTCGCTTTTTCCTCCTTTTGTTTTTCGAGGGCACGGCCAGGGCGGATAGCAACCTTGTATCTGTGCGGTGGTAATAATAGCACCGTACTGGTAGATTGGATCCCATATTCCGCCCTCTCTCACTAGCGGCCAGCCTCTTTTACTGCGCGGAAAGTCCCAGGAACCATCAGCCCTGACTAGTGCGCGATCTTTGTCGGTCCGCACGGCTTCTTCCTCGTGCGTGCACGGCCTAAAGAAGGGAGACGCCTTTGACAGTTGGGACTATGGCCGCGATCTATCGGCCTGCTAGAGTGCGCCACATACGTGATGACTCGAGAAAGGCAACGGGGCTATTAGACGAGATGTGCTGAAATCCACTTCCGCCTCATCGAGATGCGAGATGAGTTGCACTGATCATGCCAATACACAAGCATGGACACCATCACCTTTGTTGACCGCCGTCCCAACTTTCGGGGCCCGCACACTATGTGCACAAATCTGATGCCCGACTCGTTTCGGTCGGCGCCAAGCTCTTCGGCATCAGTACCGATCGTGATCGGTCGGCAATCTAGATGATGAGTGGGGATCATGCCCCTTCTGCACCCCCCCCCCCCCCTGGTGGTCAGGTCATGCCACCATGCAACACTGCCCTCATTGTGAAACGCGAAACGAGCTCGTCATGACGAGAGGTGGTATCGACCCTGTCACCTCCTGGCTGGGAGAGGAGAAGAGGTGCCATGTATAGAATAGCAAGACACGTTGTGCGTGTGCACGACATCCTTTTGTGATGGCCAGGAGAGAAGGACAAAAGTAGTAGTTCACCGTCGTCATCGTGCCGCCATGCCGATGGGACGAGGGTTGGCCTCTCTTGTCCGGCTTGGGACCTCATCTTAACGTCTCAGCATCTCTTCACAGCGCGTCCGACAGCGCGCTGACAGCCGCGTCCGGAATCTGTGTAGACGTGATCCAGTTCTCCATCACAGCCTGGCCGCCCGGTGCAGGAGTTGACTGTCCAGCCTTGCCCCGGCCGCCCGCCGTGGCGATGCCCTTCCCCTTGCTGCCGATGCCCTCACGCCGCTTGACGACCAGGCACAGGACGCGACCATAGATAGAGAAGCCCTCGTACGAAATGTCCATTGCTAGCTTCTTCTTGTCGTCCCGTCCTCCTTCGTGTTCCAAAGCGTTAGCACCGTCCCTAAGACGCTTGGCCGGAGGCGGGGCTGTGTCGTCTCCCTCGTGTTGATCTTCGTCCTCGTCCTGGGCTATAAACAGATCATCAACATCATCGTCATCGTGATCTTCCTCAAACTCGTCCGATCCTGGGACGTCGGCATCGCCCTGCTCGTCAGTATTCAGGGCATCCTCAGTGGCGGGTAGGGAGCCGCCTCCACCGCGCCGTCGTTTCGACACCCGAGGAGCGGCCGCTGCCGTCGTCTCGTCTTGAGGTAATATGGGTATATCATGGAGCGCAACGACATCATCGTCGTCATCCTCCTCCCGTAGCATAGGTATACCCGAAACCTCTTGTGCTGCTGCTGCCGCCGCTGCTGCTGTCGTTGTTGCCACCGTCGTCTGCAAGGCCTGGACGTCGACGTCGATGGGGGCTTCCCTGGAGGCCCCCGTCAGCTTAGACGTATTAGACGTCAGCCTCGTCTGTGTGGTATCACGAAAGTGCTTGTGCTTGTACAGCAGTGAGTGGCGGATGTTCGTCTCGGTCAAGAAGATGGACACCTCAAAGTCGTCTAGAGAAGAACAACGGGTCCCGTCATCAGCCACTCCTTACACACACAGAGACAGAGTGAGACCTACCTTGCGTCACCGTGTCCTTGATACTGCGCTTCTTGGCGCTCTTCTTCCGGCTGCGCTCGCGCTCCTCGCGCAGCTTGGGCAGGACGAACGGCCGCACCGCCTCGATAACCCTTGGCAGGACCGGATCGCGCGGGCTGAGGAGCCACGACTGCGCCAGAGACGGGTCATCAAGATAGATACGGCACTCAAGCACAGAGTACTTTGTGATTCTGAGATACCGACGGAGGGGGGCCATAGCGACGGAGGGAGGGAGAAGAATGCGAGGTGGGATGCGAGCAAGGGCCCTTTGTTTCGAGCCGTCACCGCAGGGGCCGCTGACCTGTTGCTGCTGGTGCTGCACAGTGTCATGGAACACTGTGGATGTTACAACAACTGCCCTGGGCCTTGGATTTGACGCGAGGGGAGATTGATGTTGATCATCTGCCTTGGTTGGGCGCTCAAAAACTGAAGCGGAGAGCAGGTGCGTGCCTGCCTTGTGACGCGTTGGAGAGTTTGGTCTCGCGCCCCCGGAAGACGTGGAAGCCCCACTCGGTTAGGTAGTGACGTAAGTATTCATTGTACTGAGTGTAAGCCCAGCTGCTGGGCCTAATCCGTCCCATCGGAACTCAAATTCTACCTCTTATTATGGACTTACAACCACAGCGCAAAGAAGACACTCTCATGCTGAAAGCCATCTTGCTATACTGGCAAGCTGGAGGAGGTACCACGAAGCAAGCCTTCCAAGGCCCATGAGAACACTACAGGTCAATTTAAACATGTGGTATTTACTATATAGAATACAATATCATCTAACCTTCCCTCATAACCTCTGTGCCCTTGGTTTTATTTTATTTGTGACTCTCATAGCCAAGATCATCCCTCTTCTCGTCAATCACCCTCCCCCATTCCAGCAACAGACGAAACATGTAGATCTCAGCGTCCTCTCGCCGCAGAGCCTGGGCCGCCCACTGCTTCCCCTGCTCCGCAATCCACTTGGCGTCGTCAACGCGCGACTGCATGGGCACCTTGCGCCCGTTAACGAGGCCCTTGTCCTGGAGGCCCAGGAAGTAAGCCAGCGTGCTGTAGAGGTCGTGGAAGCGGATGTCGACGGGCACGTAATGGAGCCAGGGGAACACACGCTCCGTGTACCATTCCTATAAAACCAATATATCGTCAGTCAAGCGTCGTCGGTGGTGGTGAGACCAGAGATCCCTCGTAGGAAACGACTTTACCTTGAAGATGGAGGCCACAAACGGCACACTGCCTGACCTCAACACCCTGAGCAGATCCTCGGAGGGCCCGTCATCGCGATCCATGACCATCACGTATCGGCTGTCCGCCTCAGCCTTGCCGTCCTTATCCTCCGGCTTCATGCCGAACTCCTTCTTTACCTCCTCACATTCGGGAATCATGCAGTTCGAATAGTCGCTGAGGCCGACATCCAGCTTCAGCGCCCGGTTCAGTTCGGGCAGTGGGGCCTTCTCGTAGAGGAACTTCTCCTCGTCAGCGCTCTTGGCGAGCAGAACCGTTACGTAGTCGTCCGGGGTGGCATTGTTGGCCAGGTAGCTGAGGCGCTCCTGATGGCCAGCTGAGAGCAGGCCGGGCGGCAGGGTTCTCTCGGGATGGATGCTGCCGCGCCAGAAGAGCTGGCTCGTCTTGTCAAGCAGGGGCTTTTCGTGCTGACCGACAGCTTCCGGGTTGTAATCATCTTTGCTCCTGGCCAGGGGAATTAGTATGTCCCTGTGCTGCTGCGTCTTGGCCCGGCTGAAGACAGGCACGAGGTCGCCAAATGGCCTCACGACTTGGTGGGTCGCGAAGAAACCGTGCAGGTTCAGCAGATCTGGCTGGTGACATAGATCCCAGCCCAGCACCCTGTCGTTCAGAAACTGCCCCTCGGAATGGGGATTGGCGCAAGAAGAGCAGAAATGCCCGTTTTGTGGGTAAAAACCCATCCTGGACGACGAATGACTGGGACAGGCCTGACCTAGCCGGTGCTGATGCTCCCATAACCACATGAACCCCTCGCCCTGCGCATCCTCTCCATATCTCGGTGTTGTGCCCGCTGACCATGGCGGCAAGACTCTCGGGTGATCCAGCATATTAACAGGGAGATCCATATCCGGTAAGTGCTGGGCAAAGGGCTGGATAAGTTCCATCAGATCGCTCATCACTGCTTCATCATGAGCCTCTGGCGACTGCTGATTTGTGACAATGCCCTCTTTGATACTGATAATGCCCATGCCATGCTGAGCCCCAAGTTTGAGTATCTCCTCCTGTATGTGACTGGGCTTCAAGCTCCAAAATGGTTGCAGATCATCATCAATCTGCTGAAAGTGGTCGATAATGGGAGAGTCCCGTGTCGTGGCGTAATCGTACCAAATATCAAAGTTTGGGGGTGGCTTACGACCATTGTGACGATCGCGGTACTCTCGTGCCGCAACACCCAGGCTTTCGCTGACTCTCGCGTACTGGACGAGCCAGCGATGTGCCTCTGTTCTTGTGGCGTAGATGAGCTTGTCGATTGGGTGACGGTCCAGCACGCTGGACACCGCAGCTGAATAGATCGTGGCGACGACAAGGAAGACGAGCATGAGAAAGACGATAAAGCTGCGGGCTAGTCCTACGTGTCGGATGCCGTTTCTAATCGAGAAAAATGTAAAGCCGAGGCTCATTACCAGTACTCCTACAAGGAACTGGGCCTTCGATGGCTGCTCATAGGTGTTGACCTGGTGTATCTTCCTCCAGGCCGCGTATGTCCCGCATAGGAAAGTCATGATTCCGGTAGCGACCAGCGGCGAGGGCTGCAGCGAAAAAAAGGTAGATGCGATGAAGAGTAAGGCAATGCTCTGGCCGAAGATGGCAAAAAGATAGAGAGAGTCGACACCGTAGGTCTCGACAAACTGAAACTGGCCCGATGCTCTGTGGTGCATGACCACAACCACACCAGTGAAGAATGCAGAGGTGCTCAGGATGCTGCCGACCGTCATGAACCTCTCCGTTGGCGTACGAGCCCACTGCAGTATACGCCAAAGAAGGGCGAGGAGGACGGCATCGAGCGCCAGGCCTAGCCATTGTAAGGCCAAGACGACATGCCTGGACTCGGATGCTGGACAGGTGACGGTCGAGTTGGAAGCGGGCAGAGAGATGAGGTAGGCACCGCCAGCGAGAGCAAGACTTCCAGAAAGATTGGTCAGATGTGACCTCTGGAACCAGGCTGCGATGTCCTGGAAAACATCGTTCTCGATGTCGTCTTCCTCGTCTTCCAAGCCTTCATCGTCCCCCCTGGTGCCTGAAGACCGTCTCGCACGCGCGAAGATTTTGTAGATGACAAACAAGCATGGCAGGAAGAGCTCAACCCCTGGGTGCGAGCACTGCTGCCGGGTGTGGAGCCAGTTCAGAAGGGACAGCCTGCCTGAGATGCAGACAGCCAAAGGCAGCCACGTGAACCGGAAGGATGGCCTGTGCGGGAGGCTCGCCGTCCTGGACTCCTCGAGTTTTCTGTACCGTGCATCATCGTCAAACCTGCCCTTCCTGCCTGCCCAGCGCTTTGCTATGAAGCTGGCGGCAAAAGCAAGTACTGCCGAGATGAAGAGGATAAGAAACTGAGAAAGCAACAGGCGCTCAAGCACCCGGTTCTGGTCGACGCTCCCATATATCTGGAAAAACAAGAGAGCCGCGCTGTTGAGTGGTGAGTGGCATCAGCAACTGTAGCACACACAGCACAGGAGCAAGAGGAGGTCTTACCATGCCAATGCAATTCGCCCAGAACCATCCATACTTAGATCACACCATCCATCTGGAGATGTGAAGGGTTTATTGGCCGAATGTGTTGTCAATACCCTGGATTCTGGAAGGTAAAAAAGGGGGCTCTAGGAATTCTCAGGGTTAATTATTACTATGCAAGTATCTACCACAAGTCTTTCTTACGAGAACGGACGTATGGCGTTACGTCAGCTCACGCATTTTCATTTTCTGGACTAGGGGCGCAGCTCCCTGCCAGCTCTCCTATTCTCTATGCTGAAGAAATGTTGGGGACAAAAATTGAAGGAGTTACCATTTACTCCTGGGAAAGTGTTCCTGCAGTCCAGCTGACGTGATCGGATCTTCCTTATGAAGAAATCTGGAACAATGCATTGTAAACAATCCTGAATATTCTCTACCTGTGGTTGGTAATGACATCAAACCATTAACAATTACCTCAAAAACATTGGATTGATATGTTGAGAAACGATTTTTAATGTGATATTGAATATGAGAGATTACATAGTCATGTAGATTTCAAAAGCAATTTGATTGCGGATTCGACCCAATTTCTTTGCTACTCAGAGGGGAGAAACCAGAAAGACCATTTGCCAATACTGGACTATGGCAATTGTCTTCTGAGGCGGAGGTCTGACGCTGAGGTGGCGGCTGTAGGGGCGAAAGGACGCTAAAGAAGGGAGGGCATTACCCACCAAAGAACCCCTAGAGAGGGGCAGGTCAGGGATCAGGCCAGCAAATCCAAACGTCGCGTCCCCGTCAGAGGCACGCGCTCACATCCTAAGAACCCTGGGCATCAACCATCCAGCTAGCAATCTTGACGAGGCCAACACAGCAGATTCCACGTCGCGACCTCCCACTCGTCTTAAACAGGGACTCAGCAGAACCCCATTTCCAAGATGACAATTTCCATCTGAAAACGAGCAAACATACCGTATAATACACGATCATCGACGACATGGCGGGCATCCTGACCGGACCTGCCTCGAACAGCCTACAGAGGCTGTTCATACCAGCCGCCTGCGTATTCATCTTCTTTCTGGGCTATACTTCGCAATGGCTCTTCAACACGGCGGAATACCTCGAACCTGGACCCATGACCCAGCGTGAAACAGCCATCTTCAACGTCCTGCTTGTGTGCCTGTGGTTGACATATTACAAATCATGTACTGTACCACCAGGACAATACACTTTTCCCCCACCACAGTCAAACGACGACGACGACAAGAAGGACAATATCGAACCCTCCTCCACCACCGCCAGCTCGACGACCAAACAGTCCCCTAAACAGTCAACAACGCCCGCCCGCTGGTGCAAGAAATGCGCCGCCCCGAAGCCCCTCCGCGCCCACCACTGCCGCCACTGCGGTACCTGCATCCCCAAGATGGACCACCACTGCCCCTGGACGGGCAACTGCGTCTCCCTCCAGACCTTTCCGCACTTCTTCCGCCTCCTCGTCTACGCCAACCTCGCCCTCGCCTACCTCCACTGCATCCTGCTCTACCCGCGCTTCCGCGCCCTCTTCTGGGACGACTCCTCCCGGCTGCCCGCCTACCTGGGGCCCAGCATCCCCGCCATGGTCCACCTGACCCTCCTCGGCCTGCTCGGCGGCCTCGCCAGCCTCGGCATGGGCGTCCTGCTCATCACCACCGCCCGCAGCTGGGTGCTGAACCAGACCATGATCGAGGGGTGGGAGGTCGAGCGCCACGAGGCCGTGCTGCTGCGCGCCAAAAAGGGCGGCTGGTGGGCCGGCGACGGTGGGACGACGACCCCCGCCCTGCGCATAGACCGTGTCGAGTTTCCCTACGACCTAGGCTTCTTCGCCAACATGGCCCAGGCCATGGGCACCAGGAACATCCTGTCCTGGCTGGACCCCCTCGTGGGCGGCGGGCCGACCGTCTCTGCCGAAGTGGGCAAGGGCACCGGCTGGGAGTGGGAGGAGAACGGCTTCAACGACCGCGTGGGGATGTGGCCGCCCCCAGACCCGGACAAGATGCGCCGGTCAGGCCCTGCGGGGTCCACGTGGCCCGGGGCCGCTGCTGTTTCGAGGGCCGAGATCGAGAGCATCGACCACAAGTGGAAGAACCCGCAGGAGGAGGTTGCTGTGTTCAGGGCCAGGCAGGAGATGGACCTGCGTAGGAGGAGGGGTGAGTCCGGGGTGATTGCCGAGCTGAATGAGGGCGAGGAGCTCGAGGACCTGGACTATGAGTATGTGGAGAGTGACGGTGACAGCGCCAGCGGTGGCTACGGCATCGATGAAGAGGGCGCGGACGACGGGACCATACCACCTGTCCGCGGCCGGCCATGGTTCGAGCATGGTGCGGACGGAGAGCCCGGCTGGACCAACTCGGAGGGCGACCGTCTGCGGGACTACGGCGTGGATGAGGACGCCGAAGAGGACGACGAGGATGTCCCACTTGGCGAGCTGCTGCGCAGGAGAAAGGCGTATGATAATAGTGAAGCTTAGTAAGGCATGCCTCTCTCTATACAGATATAAAAGTAAATATATACAACCGGGCTCACGCCTCGACCAAACTTTCCAAACGGTCTCCACCGACGGACACAGCTCTCGTTGATAGCAAGTAGCTTTGCGAATATGGGGACGCTAACTAGCCTGAAGATGACGGACGAAAACACGCGCTCTTCTTTCTCTTGAAGCCCATCGTCCTGGTCGCATACGTCTATTTCGTTTCGTCACACAAGAGGGAGGGGAAAGACACCAATAGCAGACCAGGCTATGCACATCAATCAAACCCTCCGTAGCACAAAAGTAGTCAATCAGTCGAGCCAAGCCGAGCCACCCCATCCATCTGGTTCCCTCTCTGTGTCTCACTTCATAGCCAATTTCGTTCGTCTCTACTGCTTCTCCACGACATAATCCTACTGTCAGCTCACCAATCCTCCTCATCATCCTTCCTCGCCATCGCATTCTTTCTCGCCAGTAGCGCGTCCGCCAGACTACCTGCCAGGCTTGGCGTCGGTGTGTTACTCCTGCTACTATCGGATCCATTGGCTCCGGCCAGGCTCATACCCGAATCACGAGCCTGCAGGGCTACAGGCTTCTTTCCCGGGCGCGCTGGCGGCGTCGGTGCTGCCGGCTTAGCACGTCCGTTGGGTGGCGGCGGCGGTGCGCGTGAGGTAGCTGGCGGCGGTGCAGGTGCCTGTTCCTCGACGTAGGCGGCAGGCACCCAGGCCTGCCCGCTTGCGTTCTTGGCTAGCCACCATCCTTGTCTCGTTGTTAGTGCTCAGCATCTTGAAACGTTGGACAGACGTTGTTGTACACATACCATTGTTCTCCTTCTGAATCACCTCAACCAGATCACCCGCCCGGATCGTCAACTCGTTCTCCTTGGTGCCGGCAAAGTCATACAGCACCTTAGCCATAATCTTGGCCTTCGCAGGCGGTGCAGCAGGAGGCGGCGGGGGTGGCACACGGGTTCCGGAAGCAGCCGACGTGTTTCGAGTATGTGAAGGAATGGCAGCCGGTGTAGGAACGGGTCGCGACGTAGCCGCCTTGGGCACCGGAACGGGCCGGGGTGCCGCTGCCGCTGCCGAAGCTGCCGCTCCGGCTCCAGGGCGGGGCTGTGGTGTCCTGGTATTCATGATTCTCGATGGTCGCCCGTTCGGCCCGCCAGGCTTGATGAGCTTCCCCCTGGTGATGGGTCTCGGGGGCACAGGTTTCGCCTTGGGCATTGGCCTTGAGAGCGAGTTGGAGGGCTCTCCTGGCTGTGTGTGCACAGCACCGCTCTTGTAGAAGTCCACCGGTGTCGGCGAATCCTTTAGCACCTTGACAAGCTGTATCTTGTTCGGCTTCTTCGCGTACTCAATCGTCTCCCCAATCTTGAGATTGAAGCCGCCGACCATGACGCGTTGCATCTGAGTGAACAGCTCCGTCTTTAGCACGCAGTTCAGGAGAGGATCAGGTTCTTGAGGTGATCCGACGCCAAGCGAAAACCAATCGTCTCGAGCTGTCGACGTGCCGATGAATTTGATGGCTCCATTGGGGACCGAGCGCTCGACAGCGATCTGCAATTGGCCATTGTTGAGCATCTGGGACACGATGTAGAATTTGCTATTGGTGACGATGAGGATCCTTGGGCTCGGTTTGCTGGAACGGCCGAACTTGGCCTCCAGAATCTCACCGCGGGATGAGAAGACTGCCTTCTCATTGGTTCCCAGGCCGATGGCATTGCGCACTTGACTACCAGGCCCAGTAGTAGCATTGATGCCCAGGTAGTCGCCCAAGAATCGACGCGAGCCCAACAGACTGAAGCGGCGCCTCTCCTTTCGGTTCTGCAGAAGGCGGTGCCCCTGATCTCGTAGCTGCAGGTACTCGGCCCCGGTGCGCTTCTTGCGGAAGAATCGCTGGATACGAGTCGCGGACTCGGCTCTGTATGCAAGGTACGCCCGCCACATCCGCTGGATACGTGTCGCCATGTTGTGCCAATAGCGGTCTCGCATGTGCTCCAGGGCAAAGAGGGTTTCTGGAGACTTGATGAATGCCTTGGTCACACCCATCTGCCATTCCTCTTGTGGGATGCTCGTGTCCTTCAGAATCTGCTTGACAGCTGCATCATATGAGCCCGACCAGGTGTACTCTCCAGCATACGATGTGGCTGGAGACAGCAAGAAGAAACGGTCGGTGAATTTCTCGAAGCTCTGGCGATAAGCGAAACCGGCTCGGCGGATGCGCACGTTCTCCTGGAGACCCAGGTACTTGATCTGATGCAGCACGTTGGGAACATTGTACTCGGTAGCTGACTTGTTCTCGTTTGGCTTGATCGTCCGAATATACGAAGGCTGACACTTCATCAAGGTCTCGACCAGCGCGTTCGCAGAGGCCCTTATCCTATCACCGGCCGAAGGCGGCTGCTTTCTGTTATCCTGGTCCACCTGGTGAGGGAAGAGGGTGTGGATGAACTTGTTCTGACTGCGCTGGAACAGGTTCTGTACTCCCTTCAGGAGCTGATCTTTGCACTTGTCCGTGATACCGTCGACTGTATAGCTCACGTCTCCAGCATAATGCCTAATGATGAAGCTTCCCTGACGCGGCGTCAAGTTGGCATTGGACATGCCGTTGATGCTCTGCATGAACGTGCGGTCGCACGCAGCGGGGTCGGCGTGTGCAGTCTTGGTGGCGTCCTTCATGGCAGAAAAGATACCCGGAGGGCGGATGGACTCGATCAGATCACAGACAACCTTATTGTCAAAGTAGGTGATGGGCGTCCACTTGATCTGTTCCCGGGCATACTCCTCCTGCTCTGCCTTGAGCGTCAGCTGGATGAAGATCTGTTGCAGTTTCTCGTTGACATAGTTGATACAAAGCTGCTCAAAGCTGTTCTTCTCAAAGATCTCGAAGCCGTAGATGTCGAGAATGCCAATAGAATTCGATGCCGCTTGCCTGGCCTTGAGAGACTGGTTGACTCTTTCCACGATCCAGTCAAAGAGGTTGTTGTAGATGGCCTTGGCAAGCGCATCGCGGGTGGCTGTTGCCTGGGCGGTGTTGGCAGGCGATTCGATGACCTCTCCGTTCCTCGGCGTCAGTATACGGATGGTAATGGCCTTGACGAGCGACTGGGCATCAACCTCCAGCAGGTATGCCAAAAAGTCCACCACGGACTGGTCCGAGACTGCCGCATATCCATCGTCGTCCTCACGGAACACCAGGTTGCCGGTCCACAATATTGCGGCTAGCATCCTGAAGATATTGTCCTGTTCTGCCTGCGAGAGGCCAATGATCTTCATGGCGTTGAGCGTGTCCTGGAACTCGGCCAGATCGTCGATGCCGTCGACGTCCAAACACTTGGAGCGGCTTGTGTAGACATATGTCTCGGGCTTTTGTATGCCAAAGAGCTCGCGGTGCTGCTGCGACGCGCCCTTGGTGAACTGGTAGAAGATGTGGAAGTTCCGCTCGTTGGTGATCTGGCCGACGACACGAGTCTTCTCAAGCAGATAGTTGGTGATGTCGGCTCCTATGGGCTCACCCTGTGTGTTGAAGTGTATCTGCAGGTATTTGCCGAAGCGCGACGAGTTGTTGTTCCGCAGCGTCTTGGCGTTGCCAAAGGCGAGTCTTCTCAAGCAGATAGTTGGTGATGTCGGCTCCTATGGGCTCACCCTGTGTGTTGAAGTGTATCTGCAGGTATTTGCCGAAGCGCGACGAGTTGTTGTTCCGCAGCGTCTTGGCGTTGCCAAAGGACTCCAGCAGGGGGTTGGTTGCCAGCACCATGTCCTTGACCTTCTGGATGTCGCCCGACTCGCCGCCCGACACGTTTGCGATGTACTGCATGATGCGCTTCGCGGCCTCCGTCTTGCCAGCGCCGGATTCACCCGAAATAATGACACACTGGTTCTCGCTGTAGGCCTTCATGTTGTAGTATGCGGACTCGGCGATGGCGAAGACGTGGGGGGGCATCTCCAGCCTGTTCTTCCCCCTGTAGCTGTCGAGTACCTGTTCGGTATAGATACCAAGGTCGCGGAAGGGGTTCACGGAGACCAGCACGTGGCCAATGTAGGTGTAGATCTCGGCGCCCTCGAATCGCTTCTTCAGATTGTCGTTGATGGCCTCGTTGGACACCTTGCTGAGGAGGGTAAGGTCGGACACGCCAATCTCCTTCTTCTTGGTCGTCTCGAAGGTGGCCTTCTTCGGCCTTGCGCCGCCGGAGCCAGCATGGCCGCCGCCGGACGCAGCAGCCGCGCCGCCGTGCTTAGCCCCCTTATCCTTGCGACGATTGGTGATACCCTGCGAGGAAGAAGTAAATAAGTGAGCTGGAAGCTGGACCTGAAGCTGCTGTGAGTCTGGTACGGCCTTACCATGGCGGGCGGTCAACAATATGGAAGCGCCTTCGTGATGTGGAAGCCAGTCGACAAGCTGGGTACGTGGGATTTCGAAGGACGGATCCCAAGGGGGGGAGGGGGGTAGGAGGTGGTAGGAGGTGCTAGGGTTCAGACAGGAACCCGCGCGACGCCGTCAGGAGATACTGAGTGGCTTGACGTTGGTTATTAGATGCCAGAGTAAGAGGATTGCTCAGTGGTAATTATCGTAAATCGTGTTCGTAGGGTGGTCGAGGTTGGTGCTGCCTGGAGAAGACCTGAGTGACGTGCGCATGCAATTGCGTCGTGGTGGTGGGGGACGTTTCTTGGGGGGCTTGGGGGGGAATGAAACAGTGGCTTGGCACGCAGGCACGATGGTCTGCACTACTGCTTGTAGGGCCTGACAAGAAGGGTCTGGCGCTTGTTGACCAGTGGTGGTATGTCGTGACGGTTTCTCCTCGCCCTGGAATAGCGACAGCAATGAAATTGTATGTACCTGGCTGCAGTGGCTAATGAGAAGAGATGAGACAGGAAGATGTGCTGTGCACTATGCGCTGTGTGCGCACTGCAACCTGGCCAAGCGAGATCGAGCAATGCGCCCCTCGCTCAAGCAATCAACAAGCTTACCACCTGCTTGGCTGCTGACGTAACCGCTCTACTTACTGGCAACTTGTTGGGTGGCTCAGAACTTGCTCCGCCTCAATGCTTACACAAGGATTCCCGACTCTGCGTGTGAGCCATTTTCAACATCGGTTTGGTTTTATCAATAAAAACCCTCCCTCTTGCTATCAAGAGACAAGTGATTTTCTTGAATTGCTCGTGTTCAAGTATGAGATAACGCCACATCCTTTTCCGTCCCTGTTTTCCTGTTGCCACTCGTACAGAGCAGTCCATCCAGATACAATTCAAAGTGATTGGGTTGGTTTCACAAACATGAGCCAATCAGTGTCCAAGTTTTGCATTGCTGTCTGGGCGCTTGCTCACTGTTACCTTTCAACACATCTCCTATTCTCAACCTATTACTTCTTCACACTGGAATTTTCGCTGTAGAAACATACTACCGCCCCACGCATGACCACATCCGCGCTGCCGCAGGTGAGGCTGTAAGTGGATCTCCTGGTATCATTACACTGGGGCTGCGGAATCAAGAAAGATCAGGCACAATTAGCCTTTAGCGGACACTATATTAGCGAGACTCACTCCTCCCTGCCACAGAAGCTCAGAAATATTGCTATGAGTACTTATACTGTCTCTGGCAACTGAGTTAATACCAACTGAGAAAGATGAAGAAAGCCCTAGACAAGATTCTTTTGGTTTACATATGTATTAGAAGACAATGTGCATCGCGATGTGTAAGTGAAAGCTTTGAGTGATTCACTAATGGCAATTCACGAAATGTGACACATGAACATAATTTGATGTGGAAGGGAATCTGCTACTGGTGTAGTAATTTGACTGGAGGTTTTCTCAAGGGTGTGTATTCCCGCCTTGATAGGAATGAACAATGTCTTCACTTGGTTGGATATTTGGGTCTGAACGAATATCCAGGTTTGTCTCTTTTAGTATTGTCTGGCGGTCTGTTCATATTGTCTGCTGGGCGTTATATGATTCGACTCTCGCAGACGCAACATATATAAAACTGCAGCGTAAGTTGTGCAGCAATTATGTGCCCTAATCTCTGATGAGATCAGTCGGTGTCTGTGACAATATCGATACTGAGAGTTCGAGGGTTAATGACCTGTTGACCCAACTCTGCGCTCATCAGAATTGGTAACTGAAAAGGTGAGAATCAATTGATCAGTATGGGCTTTGGATATGTATGGGGAAATAGACTGAACGCTTTCTTCCCGTAAATAAGACTTTTGCTGTTCAGAGCATATATAAGAGTGGTTACAGAAAGTAATCATTTCAAAGGTTTCGCCAGTTTATGTGAGAGCAGAGACATTCTATGTGAGGAGCCATAGAATTGCTAGCAGGTGATATTGGCTCTGGGAGGCCCAAATTTGGTTGTTCAACGTGCGTCTACTTATGAGAATATACATCATTGCCTGTCTCCTTTTTTTCTGCACAAGATATATCTTCGAATAATTGAGCGCTTCTAAAGCTGCCATTTAATTATGTTACGAGTGCCAAGGAGGATTGTACGTAACTTGCATGATTCCTGAGCACGAGAAATTGGCAGAAGCTTGTTCATCCCTTTTCCCCTGGGGCTTTGTGGGGAGTTGCACACGGATGAGTTGATTTCTGCTGGGGCTACAAGTCAACAAAACTTCCCCAGAACAACCTTCATCAGGGTTCTCCTCGTCGAATTCTAGCGTACCGCATCTCCGTCGGCCAGTCCCGCGTCAATCAGAAGATTCAGCCTTCAATCGCGCCGATTCTGTGTGAGACGGCAAAGCAGAGACCATTTCAAGAAGACTTCTTCGCAGCGGCGATGGCAACAAAGATCTCTCTCGAGCGAGAAGTTAGTAATGCATCAGGAGGATCATCAAGTTGTCCACAACATTGGCCCGGCACATACTGCTACACCTGTAGTCTGATTGCTCTTGGCATGGGTACATTCTGGCACCGGGAGGGAGGACCCTGGCCCACCTTTTTGATCCAGGAGGCCATGCTGCTGCTGCTGCACCTCGGCGGGCACCCGATCGAGTCCATCTTTGTGCATTGCGAGACAAGGCCCATCCTTTCCATCTGCACCCGTTGTAATGAAGATGTCATTGCTGAAAATGTGGCCTACAAGGCCTGGCATATCGTCTCGTCTCACCATGGCAGTCCAATTAGCCTGGACTCCAGGATCCGATTCCGTCTAGAGATCGTCCATCCAATGCCCAGGTGGTGAGCTGAACAAGTCGTCCTATGACCTAGCCAGATGACTTATCCGAAGGTCATCGCCCTAGAATGACATTTGGGGGCTTGTCATGTGGGGGCCGGGCATTCCATTCCGTGCATTCGAGTCTGCAAGGTTATAACAAGCTTCTTCCAGCCGCGGTTTCATACCCAGGGCGTTTGAAACCTGACGCCCACGCCTGCCTGGCACGGGCTTTGGGAAGGGGGAAAGAAGGGGATTCATTCCTACTACTCCATGTGAGGCTCTTGAATACGCTTAAATTTTGGCATATATCCAGGGCCGGGTGTTGCTGTTGCGTAACCGGCTGCCCCCAGTTGGTAGCACCCATGCGCTACTTGCACGAGACCCAGGCCGCTGGAAGTAAGTGGTAGAGAGGCAGATCATCCCCATTATCATTCGTTGAATAGGCTTTTTAGGATCTAGATCGAATGATTCTTGGGATCAGAATGGGCACATGTTTCCTCACCGTGAGCTGACTGGCTTGGAGGACCAGAACGGGGATGGAGAGTGATTCGGTTTGAAGGTATTCAGACCAGGGCGCCTAGAAGCTTGGCAGTAGATGGCAGCCGGTCTCACTCACCAGATGGGGCGCTTTACTAGTGGTGCCTCACACCCTCGTTAGTGCTATCAGACCCCAGCCGACGATCAGACGAACCCTCCTGCATGGCTTGTAAGAACCCCCGTAGTGTGTCTGTAATTTTCGTATATGGTGCATAATGAGAAGCACAGGCGAAGAATTGCAAAAGTATTGCAATTGGATTTGTAGCGAAAGACAGGAGATCTGGCTACCAAAGTGATGGCAAGATTCTTTTCTCGAGAATGCGACCGTGTTGTTTTGGTGGGTGGGGAGTCTCCTCACTGTACAGTTAGTGTTCCATTCAGGTGGTAGGCATACCTAAGCCGCATCTCTTTGGTTCAATTCAGCAAGCCCCTGGACCCCTGGCCTAACGTAGCGACATGTCCTTATTGGGTTGCAGCCGTAGCCCGAGGACCCCCTGATTTCGGACTAGCGCCACACCTTCCGTTATCCCTCTGGCGAATCCCGTGGGTTTGCTGCACATGGCACCCTTTAGCACTAGCTACTGGCCTCTCTCCTCGCCATGTTAAGCGCCGAGGATCCTGTCACACTTCTGGGCAGGTCACACAGTGGACTGACTGACTATTCATAGGCAACCCAGTGTCCGACCTCACCTCACAGCTTCCCTGGGCCGCGTCAGTCCGTGTTCCCTTTCTTTCCTCTTGTTCACATTCTCCCCTCACCTCACTGCATAATTCCAGCACAGCTGGCAATGATATTGACGACAACGCCGTGTGAATGAATTGAGTTTTTTCCTGTTTGTTTTTATGAAGTGATACCCCCTGTTTGTGTCCTCTCAAGGGTCAGAAAAGAACAAGAACAAGAAGAAATAACCCCTCGGGTACGTATCCTGGTCCGGCCGAAACACCAGATCAGCCTCATTGCGACTACGATCACTGCGATCTCCGACGCACCTCGTCTCAACTCTTTTGCTGCGGTGTATCGCGTTGCACGGCCAATCTGGCAGCACCAGCTGTTGATCCAATCTGGAACGACCAATTGCTCGAACGAAACTCCCTACAGCGTCTGATCTACATGGCCCTCAGGGTCCCGTCCTGGCTTATCCTGGGCTCCGGACTCGACTTCACCTCATCCTAAATCGCATTGACAAGCCGCCGGTAGCTAACGCGCTCCAACAACCATTGCTTAATCTGTGGAACCCAAGGACAACTTGATGGGACGCAGGTGGATTGGTTGTTTCATGGACACAGTGACATCCGAACACTGGCATCAGTACCTGGGATAGCCCTCATCATCTATATCGCCTCCCCAAAACTGGACTTGTCAATGTTGGTCTCTCTCTCTCCCTCTCCCCCTGTCCAGCTAATCTCTGGTGTCTCTTACCACCCCTCTTTATGACTATCCTCTCGCCCACCATCATACATCTGGCTGGACGAACTTCTTCTCTTCCTTTCTTTCTCCCTCACTTGGCAAGGCCAGAAGCATTCTCAGATCTGCTTCGAGCCTCCTCCACCTTGGCATTCTTTCCCTTCAGTCGCTGCTGGCTCAGACCGCTCTTTTCTAACTTGACTTGACCATTTAGTTCAAGTCTGTTGTTTGCTTGCTCTTAAGAATATTGTAATATAAAGGGAAAGGTGCACTCGGGATCGACATTGTCGGGGTTTATCTGCTTCGACAAGCCAACGCCTTCACGATCACCGCCAGTCGACGCGATAATCAAGCCACCAAAACACACGTCGCCGGTCGACACGTAATTCAGGTTCTGGAAACGAGGCAGAGGATCAGCAGAGGGCCTAGACAAGATGGGTTACCGCGAGACGGTGGTCAAGCAGTTCACTGCTTCAAAACTCTTCTTCAACTCTGTGTTCTGGGGAATTCACTTCTTCCTTTTCGGATTTGGATGGTACGGCCCCCGACAGTTCACATGATCTCGACGACGGCCCCTCCCCCTTTACAGTATACTGATGGAGAGTACAGGTACAAGCAAGAAAGTGATCCACGTTTAGCGGCTTTGAACGCGCTCCAGTACTCCGTGTGGATCTCACGAGGTGCAGGTCTGGTGTTGACCTTCGACACACTGTTCATCTTATTACCAGTATGTCGGACACTGGTGAGATGGCTTCGACCGAAGATCAGGTGGGTGCCACTTGATGAGAACCTATGGTTTCATCGTCAGGTTGCATACGCCATGCTGTTCTTCACCATCTGCCACGTCACTGCCCACTACGTCAAGTAAGTGTTTCCTCCCCCAACTAAGATTTGTCGTGATCATCTGACGCTGACATAAACAGCTTCTTCAACGTCGAGAGAACACAAGTCCGGCCCGAGCTTGCATTACAGATCCACTACGCTCAGCCTGGTGGCATCACTGGCCACATCATGCTCCTCTGCATGCTGCTGATGTATACGACTGCTCACCACAGGATCCGGCAGCAATCCTTTGAAACTTTCTGGTACACCCATCACCTCTTCATCCCTTTCCTCTTGGGCATGTACACCCACGCCGTCGGCTGCTTCGTCCGCGACTCGACCAACGCCTATTCGCCTTTTGCTGGCGAGATCTTCTGGGAGCACTGCATTGGTTACCAAGGTTGGCGATGGGAGCTTTTCGGTGGTGCCATCTACTTGACTGAGCGTCTGTATCGCGAGATCCGGGCTCGTCGGTCCACGAAGATCACTCGCGTTGTCCGCCACCCTTACGGTATGTTCTAGCTGCAAGATCGATGCACTGAGAAACTCTTGCTAACCCCAAAATCCAGATGTGGTTGAGGTTCAGTTCTCCAAGCCCTCTTTCAAGTACAAGGCTGGACAGTGGCTGTTCATCAAGGTCCCCTCGGTCTCCGGTTACCAGTGGCATCCGTTCACCATCACATCTTGCCCATACGACCCCTACGTCTCGATCCACGTCCGTCAGGTTGGCGACTTCACCCGCGCCCTGGGTGATGCTGTTGGAGCTGGATCAGCCCAGGCCAAGCTGTACGAGGGCGTGGACCCTATGGGCATGTACGAGGTCGCACTGCAAAATGGTCAACACATGCCCGCCATCCAGATCGACGGACCGTATGGTGCTCCCGCGGAGGACGTGTTCGAGAACGAGATCGCCGTCCTGATCGGTACTGGTATCGGTGTGACTCCGTGGGCCTCCATTCTGAAGAATATCTGGCATCTGCGCAACAGCCCGAACCCGCCCGCCCGCCTTCGCCGTGTCGAGTTCCTTTGGGTCTGCAAGGACACGAGCTCCTTCGAGTGGTTTCAGACACTGCTGTCCTCGCTCGAGGAGCAGAGTACTCAGGCCGCCCGTGTTCCTGGTGGTTCGGGTGTCGAGTTCCTCAAGATCCACACCTACCTCACCCAGAAACTCGACATGGACACTACCAACAACATTGTTCTCAACTCCGTTGGCGCCGATCATGATCCTCTGACTGAGCTCAAGTCGCGCACGAACTTTGGTCGGCCCAACTTCTCCCACCTGTTCTCGACGATGCGGGACGGTATTCTGGACCGCACATATCTGAATGGCTTGGAGAGCAGTAACAGGACGACAGTTGGTGTATACTTCTGCGGTCCTTCGGCAGCTGGTAAGTCTAACCCTATGTCTCATTTTAACGTATTGGTGCTTTGAATCGTATTAACAATCCTCCCCAGCTCGCGACATTAAGAAGGCATGCAAGACCGCTACCGTGAGGGAAGTGAAGTTCCGCTTCTGGAAGGAGCACTTCTGAACGATTTCACTTATGTTTTCCTTTATACGGCTCTATTGTGTTATACGCCCATCAAGGGCCCAAGGGGTACGGGTTTTCTCAAGATGAGGGATGGGCGAGAGGGGTCCAAGCCTGCGACTACGTGCTGATTCGAAGGAACGGCTCTGCGTTTTGCAGGGGGTACTTGTGACATCACAGACGACGGCAGCCTACTGTGCATGGCCTCGCACCGCTACAAGTGGCCGCACGGACGGAAGGGCAACGATGAAGAGGGTGAGAGCCTCGGGAGGGTTCTGCATCAAAGCGTAATCACTTACGCATGTCCCTCAGATCGCTGGGAAGGAGATCACCGGAGGTTAGCGCTGGTATTATGACATTGTAAGGTCGGGGAATATCCTGTCAATATTGTCTGGCGTTCTCTTTTATTTCTGCTTCAAGGCAATATTAGGACTTGTCTAGACTACATTTATCATTCATCATTTCCTCAAACATGCTCACCTAGGGCTTCCTTTGAGTCAAGAATATATGATCGCAACGTTCAAATCCAACTTCCTTAAAAACATCGAAAGTTCACTACAGGCTGAGAACCTTGGAAGGAGGTGGAGAACTGCAACCCCCCACCCCCATAAAGGAAAAAGAAGATAGCCCAGACCTAATCACTGAAGTTTCATTCCTGAGGTGGAACAGAGAGTTTGAATCTCTGCTCTTGTCCATCACCTCTTCAGCTGGGCCGTTCCTAGTCAGGAATGCATGTGACGCTTGTACGGGTGAAATCGTTCGACGATTGTGACGGGCCTTGGTCTGGGACTGTGTAAGAGGCTAGGCTTACTCCGACCTTGCTTCGGGAGCCATTAAAGGAGATGTATGAGTATGTTGTTGCAGAATATGGTCGCCACAACTGTATAAAACCTATCGAGCAAGTTTCACGGTGAAAAGGAATCGGACTGGCAGGAAAACAAGAGTCTTGCCACCGCTGCATTGACAGCAATACTTGTCTCTTCTCATGCTTGTCCATTGTCAACACTAAATTGCTCCCGTCTTTACCCTAGTTTACCCTCCTTTAAATATGTGTGAAATCTTCTCTATCCTTGCCGGACAATACTTTCCTTGGACTTATGCTTCCGCTTTGGCAGTATGCACGTCCAATCGTCCAGCCGACTCTGGCTTGCGTCCATAAACAAACATATACTTGACGAAAATGGTTTTGTCAGATATCATGGCCATGTAAATACTGCAGTGGGATGGCAAGGCTCCTAGACTCACGTATACTATATGCACGCAGCGTCACATCAGCCAGGCTACTCTTCATCTGCGGCAAGAACTCCGAAACCTCGGTCTCATTCATTCCAGCTGCCAACAGCAATTTGAACAGGGAATCAAATTCCTTTGTTAGAATCGATGTAGAAGCACTGGCCTAGTTGCTTTTCCTCTGGGTCAAGAGGCCAGCTATTGAATCGGGCAAAGAACGCGCTTCTGCACGACGTCCGTGAACCCAATCTCCTCCATCCACTCTTTGTACTTGAGTGTAACCAAGGGGTCCCTACCAGCATTGGCAAGACCCTGCGCAAAGAGGCTGACACACTTTGGGAAGGCAGAGTCCTGCAGGATCTTCTCTGCCCCAGGGGCAGCCACGCATTCCGGTACGTAGTCGTTATATTCGCACCAGCCGCCGGGCTTGAGGTTGTCGAAGACCTTTTGCATGACACCCTTGGGATCCGAGAAGCAGGTGCATACCGCACGGAGGTGGATGAAGTCAAAGTGCCTCTGGAAGGGCCAGGCGGCCTCGGCATCTGCCCTGGAGAAAGAGCAGTTGGGCGGTGTCTCGGAAGGCTGGATGAGGCTTAGATCTGTGCCGAGCACTTTGGCCTTTGGATATGTTCTGGCGGCTTCCATGGCCCAGATGCCTGTGCCCGCGCCTACGTCGAGAATGGCCGTCGGGCTCGTGAGTGGCGCCAGGTGTAGTTTCCCTTTGAACATCAAGGCCCATAGCTTATGCTGGATGTCTTTCACCGAAGATATCAGCTCGTATGTTGCGATGCCCGCTTATCTGTACTAACCTAGTCAATTTTGCTCGTCCTTCACATCCTGAGAGTCAGCATCTGTTTTGTCAAAGCTTCAATTCTCGAGAGAAGGACATACTGCATCGTTTGGGAGATAGTATTCTGTAGCAAGCATTAGCTACGGTAAAGTTGAGAAAGCCCAACGTCGATCAAGACCTACTCCCTTCGCCATAGCTGTGGTAGGTCCTACCATATTCTTTGACAGGTTGGGATCCGGAATGGTATTGGATCTACAAGGAAATTCCCAAACAATATTAAGTAAATAGTCTGAATACCTTTGGAAGATGCCATATAGCAGGATCAGAATTCACAGGTTCTGCTGACTTGCGTGGATGCCCGCGCTGGGGACAGTGTTGAGGCGCCATTGCTGTGATCTAACGACATCATGTAAATCGTGTTGATGTTGCACGGCTTCATAGAGATAGTTTGGTTGGGATAAGACGAAACTTTTATAATAGGTAACATCGAAAATGGAAGGTTCTGGGGAAGCATCCACAGCACTCATGGCAAGGGACAATGATCTCGTTGGCGTGCACTCCCAAATGGTCGAGATGGCCTGATCATTCCCGTGAGAACTAGTGATCCAGACTGCGAAACCTACATTCGCAACCTCGCCAGTCCAGTAAGCCCGGGCCACTCTCATGCTGCGGACCTTTCATCTGTAGTCGTACAGGACCTACAAAGGAATCGGATCCGTCCAGAGACCGTGATCAGGCTTTGGATCCTCCTGGCGCTATTTCGTACTGAAGGTGGACAGTTCGTGCGAGAGGATGCTTAGTGTGGAGATACCGTCTAGTCACCACAGATGCATGTGGGCTTTGGCTGTCAGCTTATGAGGTCTGTTTCATTCACATTGGACAGCTCGGACTGCTCATCACGACAGTTGCAATGCAGCTCCGGATAGAGTCTTGAGGAACGTAATAAAATGGGGGTTATATAAGGAGAAACGTATGAGCTGAGCACGTGGAAGTAGCTGAATGAGTGTTGAGATTGAATCTATCTAATACAAAAGGAAGATCTTCTAAGTAACTAAACCAGGCTCTGAGATGGTTTATGAGGAGACCAAAACAGAGGGTTAGGGTTAAATATGCCCCATTTTTCACACACCCCCCATCTGACTGGTTAGATGTGCTAGAAAAGTGGGTCTTTTGTGGGGTTCCTGCAGATGCGTTTAAGCTTATGTGGGCGCGTTTTACAGTTGCCTTGCCTCCTTCTAGTTCTCTTTCTTTTTCAACCAGCTCTTTTTCTATCTGTTTTCAAGGTTTTTGAAAGCCTCTGCGTATCAATATGCTTCTTCTAGTCACTCCAGATTTCTTGTTAGGCAAGTCTAACGTTTCTGTTTCTTTCAGCAAGCTTAGTATAGCTGTTTCTAATAATAGCGACTCTGCTGAGGGTGAGATTTATGTAGCTTCTTCTGATTCTTCTCCTGATGTGAAGATTGATGAGGATCCCTTGGATGCAAACCCCAGCTTCTCTGCTAGTATATCTGAATCGTATGATAGTCTCTTAATAGCTATAGAGAAGAGTGTAAGCTCTATTCAGCTTATCTTGATTCTAACTGCTAGTTAGCATTTTCTTTCTGATGTAAGTATAGAAAGAGCTGTCTGGAGATTGATATAAGCTGAACTGATTGTTCTTGTTTCCAGGGATGGCGGTCTGGCCTGCCTGCTTCAAGTTCTTAAGCTTCAGTTGAGTTGTTTGCTGCTCGTGCTGATACTCTGATTTTGCATTCTTCGGTTGATAGTGCTTCTGATTTAGTTGGTATTGATCTTTCCAAGCGTTCTGGTACTAGTTCTATGAGGATTTCTAGCTTGTTTATTGATAATGATGATGATGATGATGAAGACAGCTCTGTGCTTCTTCAGGAGGCGCTTAAGACTATAGGTTTGTACTGCTTTTTCTTTCAATGTTTACTTAGCTGATCCTTTTTCAGGCTTTTAGTAGCTTTTCAAGTTCTGAGCTAGTTGTAACAAGGCTTATTACTGAGCAGAATATAGCTCATTTGAGATCTCAGGATGCATTGATGCAGAAGCTTCAGCAGAAGCATCTCGATGTGGCTGCTGGAGATGCTGCTAAGTTGAGGATTTCTTGGTTGCAAGCTAAAAAGACTTTTCCAGTAGCTATTTCTTTCAGTACTTCTGCTGCAGATTTCTTGAAGAGCTAAAATGATGCTTTCTGGGATGCTATTTGCAATATTCCATACATTAGCTGTATCAAGAGTTTAGCTATAAGCAGCTTTAATGATTTCTATTATAATTAGAAGAATTCATCTGCTGCTTGCTATGCTCAGTATTTGAAGAATTACAAGTATATTTCAATTCCTTTCTATCTCATGCTTTTTGTAAATAAGCTTTATATAGCTAAGTATATGCTTGCTTCTGCTAAGAAGATGAATACTTCTATGCTCTCGAAGAAAAGAATACATGCTGGAATAAAGAAGGAGAACTCCACTCTTAACCTTGCTTCTCTGGGGATCCAATCCAAATATGCTGTATGGGCTTAGAAAGCTGCTCTTGAGCATTTTGAGGCGAGCAAGTTTTCGGAGATTGATGAGCTGCAGAAGCAGATTGAAGCGCTTACAGAAGAGCGTGATATGCTTCTTGCTAAATAGGAGGCTGATTGTAAGGAAGCAGTTTTATGCTCTGCTAAGAAGGGAAAGGCTGTAGTTTCAGCTAAGAAGAAGAGAAAATAAGCTGCTATTTAATCTGTTTTGTATTCTATTGATAATTATTCTATCAAGTCTTACTATAAATAGCATCTGAAGTATGAGAAAGCTAAAGCTGATATTGAAGCAGTACTAGCTACTCTTTACTTCTTATCTAAGAAGTAAGCTCTGTTCAGGCTTAGGTATGCTCTAGGCTTTGATGGATAATTGGGTTTTTTGTAATTAAGTTCTTTAGTTTGTTGTTTGATAAAGATTGTATACTTGGTTTGCATATTTCTAAGTAATACTTCTAAGCTATAAGCTTTTGTTTTTGATTTTAATAAATGAAATTTAGTAATTAAGAGTATTTAAAAGAAATCAATATGAGATCGAATTGCTTATCTGTATTTCTTTAGATTTCTTCTTAGTTCTCTGATTCAAGATATAGCTAATATTCTGAAGATTGAGAAGTATTCTAAAGTATTTGAACTGTATTTGATTGAGATTCTTAGTTAGTTCATTAGCTAGCATGCTCTGTATTAGCATATATGAGATCTGGAATTTGCTTTTTTGAAACTTCTGCTTAAGCTATATTTGATATATATTCATATAGCAGAGCTTTGTATTTATTTTTTTACATTCTATAACTATCAGCTGTATAGCTTGTTGATTATTATAAAAGATATTCCAGAGCTTATTAAGATTCAAGATGAGGTTTTGAAAGAAGCATTATAAGGCAATTATTTCCTTAGCTATAGCTAAGAAGATGTATAATTCAGCTTTTATAATTGAAATGATTACTAAGCTTTGCTTTGTTGCTTTCCATTGTATAGAATCTCTGAATAAGCTGAAGATATATCCTTATAAGGATTTTCAGTTCTTTGCATCATCAGCAAAGGAAGCATCTCCAGCGATTAGCAGAGCTTAAGCTTTAGAGTAGCTTTCTTTGTACTGAATTGCTAGAAATCTTGTTCTATACAGATAACAGATTATTCTATCTGCTTGTTCCAGATGCTTTAGCTCTGAGTTTATCAAAAATCTGAAGAGAAGAGTGCATGTAAAAGCTATATCTGGTTTTATTATAATAGCGATATATAGAATTGATTCAATCTTTTTCTGATACTTCTTGATTTGGTTTTTTAATACTTTTCCTTTCTATTTGATAAGCTCTTTAAGATTTAGAAGTATTGAGAGTATTAAAGCTGTATTAGCTGCAAAGCTAAATTTGTTAGCTATTTTCTCGATATATGTATTGTAAACTAAGCTAATCATGCAATTAGCTCTATCTCTGATGATTCGAATTCCCAAGAACTATTCTGCTGCTCTCTGATTCTTTATCTTATATGCTTTAAAGATATCTTTCTTCATTCTGTATGCTTTTAATACTTAATTCTGCGGATAGAATAGCAGAATATCATTTATATAGAATAGAATGATTAGCTTGTTTACTTTGTTAGTAAATATACAGAGCTCTTCAGTTAAGAGCATAAAGCTGAGATTTCGCAGAGTTAAGCAGAAGTATTTGTACTAGAGTGCTAGCATATCCCTTAAGCTATACAGTACCTTTTCTAGAAGCATGATTTTCTCTTCCTTCTTGAATTCATTAAGCAGCTTATAGAAAACGCTTTTCTAGCTTTCCCTGCTAGCATTCAGAAATGCTCTAGTAATATTCATCTGATTAATCTCTAGATCGAAATATGCTGCTACAGCTATAAGTATGCAAAAGAAGCATATAGCTAGCATTGCTATATATATATCTTGAAGATTGCTTGCTTTTTGCAGATCTTCTTATATATAGATTCGAGCTTTGAATGAGATTAAGTAATTATTCTTATCAAGTTTGTATCTGTATACTCATTTAAGTAGCAGTAGCTTCTCTTTAGCTTTTCTATACTCAAGAATTTGCTATATCCTTTTATTAACTAGTTCCTAAATTTCTGATTGTATTGCTTTCCATTACTTAGTATGGAAAGAACTATTTCATGCTTCTTTTCAGATCTTAGATTCGGGTAGTAGTTGTTTATAATGCTTCTTTTCAGCTGTTGCTAGCTCTATAACTTGCTGAGAAGCATCAAAGTGCTTTTATTGCAAGTGCAAGACTTCTCTGCATATAGAGTTTGCTTCAAGTATAGCAGCTGCAACTATACTATATATAGTCTAAAAATATCTATTCCATGTTCTAATTGCTTTCTTTAGCTGATTAGGCAAAAAGATAGCTATAAGATTTATTAGAGCTGTTTAGCTTATTATAAAAGCTATAGCAAATAATTCTTAATATTAGCAAGCTTTATCAATTAGTTTCCATGCTCTGTTTGAATGCTGTATGAGTTGAGATTTATAAATCTTATTTCTTATTCGATGATATCTAGTTAAAGCTTAATTAAGCTCATATTCTTGCGCTGCAGGCTAGCTTGTATCCTGAGCAGTAGATGTGCTAATAGCTTGTTATTCAGTACTTGAAAACGCTTATTCAGTTGCTGAAACATTCTTGCTGCTTGCAGCAGCGCTTCTTTCTAGCTAATCTATTTATTTCAGTATCTCGAGAGATTTTTCAGAAATTAGAAGTTCTTATATCTTATTCTCTAAGCTTCTTCTCTGGAATGAGTTGCTTTGCAAGAGTACTTCATTGCTAGTTTCAGATACTCTTATCTCCGAGTTCTAACTCGGAATGCTTTCCAAGGAAAACTTTGAGAATAAGCTATTATTCTTATTGAATAGCAGATAAGATTCTTAGTTTTGATTTGTAGCATTAAGCTAGAGAACTGGATTCTATATGCTTTTAATAATAATTATATCTATGATTTCCTTATTATTTCCAACTTTTAAAATAATTAGTGCTAGCTGAGTATAAGATAGTGCTTCTAATGCTTTATTGCTATTTAGATTATAGAATTAGCTCTTATCGAATAGAATATTGTATATAGTTGCAACTCTTGCAAGCGCTGGAAGCTATATGCAGTATAGATTGCTTGCAATGTATCTTACAAGATAGCTTTTGT